GTATATACCACTGTGGATTAAAAAAGATTTTGAGACTAAATAACTTGAATCAATAGGGGTTGAGGAGTCCTCCATAATCCTCATGGACTCCAATAATATAAAAGTATAGCAGAGTCATTTTCTGGATGTTGTTGGGTCTTACTATTTTCATACAGGTGAGAAATGAGTCATACAAGGTAGTGAAAGAAAGAGAAGCAGCGACCAAAATGGGGTCTAGACAGGGTGAGGGTTCGTGTGTGTGTAGCTCATGTGGCTGGTACATTGGGCAGAATCTCCTGTCTCCTTTTTTTTCCTTATAAGTTCCTAACAGTCTTCAATTACAGGCAGTAAGAGTCTTGACCTAATGACACCTAGATGATGCCTTCTGACAGGTCAGTATTTGTGAGATCAAGGTTTGTAGAGACTGTAAGAACATACCAGAGGCATCCTGCAGTCTGGAGTTTTTTAACTTGGCTTTAGAATTAATACTGCACAATAAATCTGAATCAAGTGAGAAGTGAAGTCAGGAGGACTTCAAATAAGTTGTAAAAAAAAAAAAAAAATACCCAGACATTCCTCCTCATTCCAGGCCTTTTGTTCCGTAAATACTTCTTAGATGTCCTTTTGAACTCATGATTCTTAAGTAGTGACTGAAATCCCTTCCATTTCATGCTCATACAATATTAAAATACCACATTTCTAGAATGAGGTGCTATACCAATGGTATGAAAAGTGGGCTGTTTTATAGAGTCAAATAATACTTTTCTCTCCAGACAATAAGCTTACCACACCAATTTTTCTCAAGTGACAATAAACATACCAAAGAATGACTTCCTTCTGACAATTTTAAAGTGCTTGCTAAAGAATAGGTTATATGATATGAAAAATGCATGCTGCATATAAAGCTATAATTATTTCAGTCCATCATAACATTATGTAGAAAAGATAGATGCTATTATATAATTCAACCTCCAAACCTAGAGACTTGAGAAAGAGCACTCCTTGGGAGCATAAGAAAATTATTTTAGGTGTCCAGCCAATTAGTATCATAAATCATAGGCAATGAATACAAACATTTTAATGTACTTTGCAGGCTCCAATCTGCTCCTGACTCTTTTAGCTGCACCAGACAGATTTTCTTGTTAAACAGAAATAATTGGTATTTCCTTAACATTTTGCTACGTATAATTTTTCTCATAAATTATTTGATACAATAACTCTGAAAAAGGGTATTACTTTAATTCTCATTTTATAGGAGGGAAGGCTGGAGCTCAAGGCCCAAAGCTCAGCTTTTAGTCTGATGAGGTCCTGACACCAGGCCAGGTTTCCAGCCTCCAAAGTCCATGCTCTGTCTCACTGTCACACAAGGACTCTCAATAGATCATTCTGTTATCGGTTGCCCTCGAAGAAAGGAGGCAACCGAAGTAGCATATTTCTGGCATGACCCAGATATTATGGCAAAGGCAAATGATTATTTCTGCAATAGTAGATATTGAGTAGCTGCTACTGACAGGCCCAGAGACACAGCAGAGGGTAGGCAGGAAAATGACAGGTTATGAATGTAGAAATGGCCAGGTAGGGGGAGAGTGGTGATAGGTAAGTAAAATCAGTCACCTCCAAGGTGTGTTTGGTTAAGTTCTGGAAAAGGAAAGTAGAAGAGAAAACCCCAGTGGGTGCTGCTATTTCAATAGATCAGTCAGAGAAGATCTCCCTGGAAGTATAGAATTTTAGCAAGAATATTATGCACAGGAAGAAGAGGGAAATGCAAGTAGATTACATTTTAATGGATTATCAAGAACAAACCTGGGAATCTGAATCTTTGGAATCTCATGGGTCATCCCTACTCAAGTGGAGGTTGAGGTGGGAGCAGGGGGGAGGGGAGTAGGAACACCATGGTAGCTTAGTAGATTCTGGAAGGAGGAGAGCTTTTGTTTCATTTTTATTTTATTGAGGTAACACTGCTTTACAGCTGTGACTTCGAGGGACATAGGACCTCCCCCTTCAGACAGTGTCAGTGGTAAGCGAAGGGCAGGCAGTGATGTAGAAGGCACACCAGGCTGAGAAGCCTCTGCCCCGGGCGGAGATGCAGTTCTCCGCCTTCCATGCTGGGGGAGTTCCAGGAAAAGCTCCAAGGTTATGTCTCCTTTCTTGAAGCACCTGCCCTCTCTGCCTCCTTATCCCTGCCCTCTTTTCTCTTTTACTTTCCATGTAATAGGGTGTAGGGGCAGGACTGGCCACAGTGCAGGTTTTCTGATCCCATGCAGACCGGGTAAAGGAGGAGTCAGAGTCCTTAGTGGGTTTTTGCAGGTCTTTTATTGGGGTTCACCAGGCATATGGCAGGCAGGGGTGCTGGGGGGCTAGGAGGCTGGCAGTCCTCTCAGCCCCCAGCAAATCTTCACTCTATCTGGCCTCTCTGGCCTTCTCTGCTTCTGCTTTGGGCTTCTTCTCTTTCGGCTTCTTCTGCTTCTTCTCGGCTTCTGCTGCTGCTGGTGTCCCCGTGACGCCGCCCTTAAAAGCAGTCTTAGCCCAGGTGAATCCCATCTACCTATGCCCACACCCTATTCCAGGTGCCCGCCATCAGGCATGCATTCAGGACCTCAAGGATCCATCATCTATCCTGATGGAGGGAGGGCAGAAAAGCCTGACATTTGTCCTTACCCTACATAGGGGTAGGGAGAAGGCATGAGAACTGCTGAGTGGGGAATCAAATCATGTCTGCAAGTTAAAATCAATTCCTCCTTCCCACCTCCTATGCCTAAAATGCTACTCTTTGCTCATCTTAAACTCCTTTTCCCTCTGTAAACTCAATTCTCTTTGACAATTTTTAAAATAAAAGCTATGTTTGCATGCATAAACGGTTGATACCACTAGGTGATTGATGAGTGTGATCTTTGAATGATTAAGCCAAAACTATTTTAGTCCTTTGTTTTGATTGTTTTTTTAATTGAATCATACCTTTTGCCTGAACTATTGTAGCTACATTGGTCAGTCTGGCATTGTCCAGTGTGGGCACATCCTACAAAGAGAAGTAAAATAGAACTGAGCCATCTGTCCTCAGTCAATTTGGAGTATATGGAAAGAAGTAACCAAATATTTTCACTGCAATATTTCTGGATAATATTGGAAGATAAATTCTCCCACTCCCACCTCTCCCTGCTTCCTCCTCCAACAGGTGTATTCAATATTAGACCAGATTGCTTTTAGTGATGCTGTGCTGATGAATCATCCATCTGGATTGCCTTATACTTTTTAAATTGCAATGATGAATACCTGATTTTAAAATTTTGCAGATGGTGTCTCCTTTTGGTTGGCTTTACTTTAAAGGAAACATTATGTTTTATTTGGGGGGTGGTGAGGAGAGGAAACAGCTACTCATCTCACCGATTTCCCAAATCTTTCCAACAATGCAAATGCTGCTGTAGAAATAAATGGAATGCCCTAGCCTGATTCATAAATGCCAGGAGGGTTTCATTCTGGAATTAAACCAGATATAGAATTGGAAATGACATTTTTAAAATTTAGAGTTTGTGTAAGTTTAGAAATGTGCCTACCTAGAGAAAGTCTAATTGGAAAGGTTATTAGTAGTTATCAACCCAAACTCTTACTTGTTGTAAAATCAACTCTATAGCAGCCCGATAAATGGTTGTTCAATTTGTGCTTGAACACTAATAACATGTCTTTCAAAATATACTTGAGACTCATGCTGTGTTTAGTTGGAAAAAAAAAAGGGGGAGAATTAACTAGAAAGAAATATGATACCCTTTACTGTCTCCATAGAGGTGAATACCTTTGTCTTCATTTTTGAAACTATCCCATCCTCAGCACTAACCTCCCTATCCTCATGTGGTCACAAAATTTTTTTTAAAATATTTTTGGGCTTCCCCTAGTGGCGCAGTGTTGAGCGCTGGGCTGTGAAGCTGCCGGCAGCCTCTGCAGTGCTGGTTTGATCCCCGGCCACCGGTGAGGGTCCCACATGGCGTGCAGACGTCTCCTGCCGCACCTGCTGCTCCCCTCAGCAGTGTATTTCATCAGTCTGCCTGTTCTGTTCCCTGCTCTGGCTCTGGTGAATTCTCTCACCCTCCCACACTTCTTACTGTACCCAGTGTTTGTATAAACAAATAAATAAATCTTTAAAAAAAGATAAGATTAAAAAATATTTTGGATTTGTAATAGGACAGTGATTATATTTTCAAGCAATACTAGCCAAGAATGCTAACATGGGCAGACTTGTAATATTTTTTTAATGTAAATACTTTTCCGAAAAGGTTGCTAAGATTGATTTCTTTGAATATGTCCTGCTAATAAGAATGAGAAGATGAAATGTGTTTTTAGAGAAATTTTATTGTGAAATTTGTTAAGACCCTATCTGAACTATTTAATCCCCTTTGTCTCATCCTTAGCACGTGGATTTCTTCTCACAGATTTAATTTATTGTTTTACAAATGCATTGGTCATAGACATTTAAAACTTGTTTTCTCAGTTTCAGAAGCTGTCTCAATTTCCATGTTGCTCATTCCCCTCTTGGTATCTCTGTACCTTAACTCATTAGCAGTTTGGAATGAGAATGATTAGGGCAGGGAAAATAGTGCACACTTTGCATTCTTGAGCTTAAAATTGATCTTTTTCAACAGTTTTCAAATGAATATTTGTGCTGTGGTTAAAAATGTGAGCCCAGGAGGCAGACATACTGTGTTTGAATCTTCATTGTTCCCCTTGGTTCACTCTGAGACCTTGATCAAATCTTACTGAATCTTATCTGTAACATGTAATAATAATATTATTTCTATTATGAGGTTAGATATGAAAGTGATAGTCCGTGTGAAAGTGCCATCTCTCTGCCTGGCGCAAGGAAAATTTACAATGGCATTTTAGCTGTTCTTACTTGTTATTTTTCTTTAGCTTTTGTTTGACTTAATTATGCTGGTAGAGCTAGTTATTTGAGTCATGCTGCATTAGTTAAGAATGACCAGGGGCATCTGCCTATTTGGATGACCAATTCATCCTTGTTTTTCTGGTTTTAGTGAATGAAAACCCTAGAACCTTATTCCTGGATTAACTGGGGTGATTGACAACCAGATCAGCATCCACATTGGTAAGTTGGATTTGTGATCCTCTAAATTCATTTTCATGCACATAGTATGTAACTTAAGAATGATCTAACTTACGAATTATGATAATTGATTGTAAAGAACAAGAAAATCTTTCAGTACATATCATTCAAGAATGGGACTTTCGTATAAGCACACAGAATTCTCTCACACTCACAATTTTTAATTTATCTTCAGTATAGTTTTCTTTCTCTCTCACACACTTTCTCTCACATATCACATCTCTTTTCTTTCTCATACACAGCCCTCTCCTTCCAGCTCCCCAGTTGTTCATGCATTTCTTCCCTCTCTCTCACCCCCACCATCTTACCCCCTCCTTTCTTCTCCACCCTAAGCCTCTACCCTGGTGTTTAATAGTAATAAAAAAAAAAAAAAACTAGAAGAATGTAATATTAATTTTGACAACTTTAATTCTGAGCAGTTCTCAGAGCTGGGGGACAGAATGCCTGAACTGCTGAGAGAAATAGCAAAGAATATGCTAATTTTAGTCTGAGTAGTGATTATTTATTTGGCGGTGAGTCAAAGCTCATAGATGATAAAGGGCATCTGTGAAACTCTTAAAATTCTAACAAAAATTCTTCTGTGTGTGTTTGTGTGTGCATTTCTGGGGGGAGAGTATTATTAGGTTTTATCAGATTTCAAATGTAAACCATGGTCACCAAATGTTTAAGATTCACAGGACACAGCTTGAAGAGCTAATAGTGAAGAGCCCCATTGAGGCTCAATGGGGTCTCCTTGCTTAGATCGTTTCTTTGTTTACAGTGTTGTAGATCTTGCAAACAACACTTCTGTTTTTTTGTGAAGGTTGTTTTAAACAAATCTCATCATCAAAAAAGAGTTTAGCAAAGAAGGATCTAAAAGGATTCAAATTACAGAGGTGTGTGCAGGGTAAGGAAATGAAAACCAGGACTACTGACAAACTAGCCCCAGAGGGAAGCTGTATCATCCTTGTCATTGGAGGGGAAGGTCCCTACCCACTAGTGTGAGTTAAACCCACACAAGGAGGGGCTCTCACTGGACACTTAAGACATGGAAGAAAACAAATCTGCTGGGGAACAAAAAGACTGGAAGGGACCAGGTTTAGGGCATGCATGGAGGGTTAATTCTTTCATCCTTTCCCACGTACTGTCCTTCAATCTCTAGAAATGCCTAACATTGGCTAATCCAACACAAAATCAGAGGACAAGTGCAGAGCAGTGTAGAGAAGAGTAGAGACCACTGGATCCCCTGGAGCTGGAATGGATGAGTGTGCCTCAGAGAATACTCAGGACACCTCCTTTCTTCCATATATTGCGGAAAGATGGTTCCCAACTTGTCACTCCTCTTTAAAGTCTATTCCAGTTACCTTAACAGAAAGAGTTTAGTTCACTCATTTCTAGTATGATGCTTACTTATATTTTTCCCATACCACATTAAATTAGGGAATTAAAATGAGTTAATAAGGATATTTCATTAAAAGCACAACCTTAAAATGTAATTATCCCTATGCAAACTTTTTTAAGCTACCATGTGATTAAGAAAGTTTTTTTTTTTTTTTAAAGATTTATTTATTTATTTATACAAGCACTGGGCACAGTCAGAAGTGCGGGAGGGTGAGAAAATTCACCAGAGCCAGAGCGGGGAGCAGAGCAGGCAGAAGGACCGAAGTGCACTGCTGAGGGGAGCAGTGGGCGGCAGGAGAGGTCTGCGCACCATGTGGGACCCTCGCTGGCGGCCAGGATCGAACCGGCGCTACAGAGGTTGCAGGCAGCTTTGCAGCCCAGTGCTCGATCGCTGCGCCACTGGGGAGGCCCGATTAAGAAATTTTTATGAAAATATGACCAGTATGGAATTGGTGTCTGTGTGACATACAGCAAGTTAGCGTCCTACACATCGTATTACGTAGATGCTTGCAAATGTTTGAAGTCAGAAGTGAGATAGATTTGAATAAGGCACTAAATGATAGGTAAGAAATCAATCAATACTATAATTTAGGGGCCTCCCTCGTGGCTCATGCATAAAGCAATGCATTATGAAGCATTCTGAATCCTTTGCAGCACGAATTTGATCCCCTGCTGGTGGCCAGCCAGGGAGCAACCCACGTGGCACAGCAGACCTCACCTGCCTCACCTGCTGCTCCCCTCAGCAGTGTGTTTCAGTCGATCTGCCTGTTCTGTTCCCCACTCTGTCTCTGGTGAATCCTCTCACCCCCCACATCTCTGGCCTGTACCCCAGCTTGTATGCATAAATAAATAAATCTTTAAAAAATAATAATGATATAATTTGTTATAGAGAATAAGATTTAATTCTGCCTTGGAACCATGTAAATGCCATAGGCCAAATCTATGATTTTGCAGTTTGGATAGCTGAGCTTGCCCTCTATTGTCTATGTGACTAAATAATTAATCAAGACTGGCGTTACCTTGACAATAGACACAATAGACATTCTACTAAACTTCACCGTATGTGTGGCTGATAATTGCCCATTTCAACTTATAAAACAGTTAAGCACAACCTTAACAGGCAAATGCATGTTAACTGCATGAGTTTTAAAATCAATGACCAGATAAACACTTGCTTTCTGATGTTTATTAATTTTCTCAATGCAGTTGGCCTTTTAAAAATGACATTCATTTATCTGGTAAAATACTAGCATTTTGAAGGAAATATACAATACTTGTATTATACCCAGTGCCAACAAGTATATCTGTGCCAGAATTAATCTGTTCTTGATTTCACTTCCTGAAAGTAATTTCTTTATTTCCTCCACAGTACATGCTAGTACAAAATTCCTTTCTTAATATAACACATAGACTCATCTTTTTCATTAAGCACTGACTATCGCTAGATTCTGTGGTGATGGGGGAATAACAAATTTCTCCAATATATTAAAAAATAGCAGAGTTCCTATTTACTCTTTGGCACTTTTACTATTTATAAGAATGCTCCATGGATATGTTCTACTGTCAATTTTCATGTTTAACTCCTATAGAATTTAACAGGAGCTAGAGTGTTAATGAGAACATGCTTTGGTAGCATTTTTCAAAGCTCTAATTCCTAACTACTTATTTGTCATTGGAAACAAGTAATAATTTTGATTTTTTTAAACACTTAGTAAGGACCATACATATACCTACTTTAATACAAATTTTCTCATTTCTATATAATTTTATATAAATTTTACAATACACATTCATTTTTATATTTTTTGAGATATGTACATGTCATCTAGAGAGATGCTTACATTTAGGCTTATGATAATCTATGAGGCAAATAATTTGCTTTTAAATTGATGCTTAACATGCAACTAAGTAGCTTCCAAAACAAGCTCTTTCTACTCTAATAAAATATAGTAGGATTTTCTGGGTATGTTTCTGGGCCTTTAAATAGTATCCTTAATTTCATGAAGTATTAATTAACACATCTCAAAGCCTATTTCACTAAAGTCAACTTTGCTATAAAAGAGAAATAAAGAATGAAGAAAAGAAATAAACAGATATGAAGGGAAAGGAAACGGACAGATGGGAGGGAAAGACAAAAAGGGAGGAAAGGAGAGAAGCAGGAGGGAAGAAGGAGGAAAGAAGAAAGAAGGAGCAGAATAAATCTCAAGCAAACTCAAAATCAATCAAAAATCACAGCAGGAATTCCATTGCAGTGTAGTATAGGTTAACATGCTCCCTAAATTTGCTCCCCGCTTTCGTTGGCCAGAGGTGGCCGGTGACCCCGACCAGGGTCATGTGTGATGGGGTGATGAAGCACCTGAACATAGCTCCTGGTGGTCTTGGCAGGCGTTTCCCTGATTGCCATGGTTCCAACTTCTGATTTTAGAGGAGAATTTTAGATGAAAGCAACGAGTCAGATGCTACAGTCAACATGAATCATGGAGGTTGTGCAGCACTTGCTGCCTCTCTTTAGGTGACATTCTCAGATGTCAGCCTGACATTTGCTCAAGGCAGGTGGTCTCAGTGATTTGATTTACAGTGTGCTTTTGTCAAGTCAACAATCGTTGACTGTTCCTTCCCTTCCTCCCTTCTTTTTATTGAGGTGGCTTTGGCTTACAACACTGTATATGAACTGGAGGTGTACGTTATCACACCACACCCACCACCAAGGCACCATGATCCTCCACCATAGTCCAGAACTAGAGAAAGAAGCTTCCCAAATAAGATAACAATAAGAACAGGGCTCTCTGGACAGCCGACAGACTCCTGCCCATGTGGCGATCACTAATGCATTCCATGTCCTGTGTCTTCCTTTCATACACGTAAATTACTAATCATCTCTATAGTATTGGGGAAGTGTTGTGGACTTAGATAAGAGAATATACACTCTTTATATTTTGTTTGTTTGTTAGCACCTACTAAATGTTACCCCAATGGGGGGTGTTGTATTACTGTTGCATAAAAGCTAATTTGAGGACATGGATCTGGAAAACTTCTCTAAAAAAGCCAGGAAAGATAAATGTCTTATTTCCTAAATCTCATGGCTATACAATGCAGAAGGGGCTGTTGAAAACACTACATACCCTCTAAGTAATTCTAGAATTTTCAAATTCTGGAATCTTTGTTGTAATTTTTTTTTTAATTTTAAATGCCACATTAGACTTCTATGGATCAGGTATCAAGCGGAAGTTCAGAGGTAGATAGGGACAGGTTATTGGTTCTTTCTTCTATTATTAAGTGCCCACCTAAATGCTAGGCACTAAATCTGGGGATTTAATAACAGAATTCTGGGAGTTTCATTCTAGTGGAAGTGAGGGATAAAAATAGAGGGTAAAATTTGAAACATGAACATTGGTGCTGGTGCAGTCAGTGGGGTAATAGCCTGATGCAAGGTGAATCAAGGTAAAGAGGGTCTTTTATATATATTTCTAGAGAAAAGATACAAGTGGAAGAAGGAGCAGTGGCTTTAATGGTAATGCCATCTGTCCTGTGAGTGCCAGCACAACCTCGTCCTTCCAGTACCACCTTTACTTTGTATCTATGTGTCATCTTCACCATGATTT